TGACCTCAGGTGATCCACCTGCCTCAGCCTCCCAAAGTGCTGGGATTACAGGTGTGAGCCACCGCGCCCAGCAAGACAGGAACAATTTTAAAAGAGCAGTAGCACCTATGCCTGAAGGGAAACGGGTACTTTCATACAGGGTTGGTGGAAATGTGAGGTGACACAGCCTTTGTGGAAAGCAATCTGGCAACATCTATAAAACTGAAAATCCATACAGCATTCAACCTAGCAATCCAACTCCTGGGACTCTAGCCCCCAGAAATAGAAGCACGCATATGTAAAAATATAGCACAAGGGTGTTTAGTGGAGCATTATTGATAGCAGCAAAAAAACAAATCTAAGTGAATGCCCCTATTTGGTATAGCTAAAGAATTCTGGCATATCTGCAGCATGAAATATAATGCAACCATTAAAAAAGATAAAATTAGAGCAGAGGATCTCAGCATTAGCTGCAACAGGATCACCTGGAGGGCTTGTTAAAACCCAGATCACGGCTGGGCATGGTGCAGCACTTTGGGAGGCTGAGGAGGGCGGATCACCAGAGGTCAGGAGTTTGAGACCAGCCTGGCCAACATGGTGAAACCCCATCTCTACTAAAAAGAACAAAAATTAGCTGGGCATGGTGGCGCATGCCTGTAATCCCAGTTACTCCAGAGGCTAAGACAAGGAGAATCTCCTGAACCCAGGAGGCGGAGGTTGCAGTGAGCCAAGATGGCGTCACTGCATTCCAGCCTGGGCAACAGAACTAGATGCCATCTGAAAACAAACAAACAAACAAACAAAAACCCAGATCACTGGGCCCCATCCTCAGAGTTTGTAATTCAGTAGATTTGGAGGGGAGTCCAAAATTTCTGTTTCTAAAAATTCTCAGATGATACTGATGCTGCTGGTTCAGGGACCATACTTTTGAGAATCACTGCTGTAGGATACTGTTAAGTGAGATGAGTGAATGTAAAAATATATTTAATATGGTTCAAGTTTTGTAAAATAAACAACTCCCCAAATGCTACACATGTGTGTATTATCATATGAAAAAATATGACAAATGCTACACAGTAGGACATTAACATGAGTTTACTTGTGGAGGTGGTGGAGGGGGAGTAAGAGGACACCATTAAAACTATATACCATATATATGACCACACACACAGATCATCTTTTACGCTGTTATGTAAAATTGTGTGTAATATGATTAAAAGAAAAAACAAGTAGTTCCTAGCCTTATATTACTTCACTTAAAGCACAACAGTAGGGAAAACCACCACACCCTTTTTCAGGCATGAACATACCTGATACGAAGACACAGGAGAGGAAAGGTATGGGGAGAGTGCAGACTGAGCAAGCATCCTGTTGGGGGTGATGTTATAAGGGGCTGGGTAAAACCTGTGGGAAGGAACCTCAATCAGTACTGAGTCACAGGAAACCACAAGGGAAGGGCCCCAACTGATAGGCACAGCCAACATTCCCTTGACTTCCAAATAGAGAGAATTAAGATGAAACATTTGAGTGTCTGGACACAGGCCATTATCATTTTCAGGTGACTTGATTATATAAAACAACCTTACCCATTCTGAAGAGCTGTTGTGGGGTCATAGGTCAAGGCCATGCCGCCCTATAAAGAAAGAACACAGTGTTCACATTGTGAGCCCTTGGGTGAGAACAGGAGCCGGTCCAGAATGTCCAAGGCTGGGAATGTTTTAGTTTAACAAATTAAAGCCTGGACAAGTCCCACTACAGCTGTTTCAGAGTTTTTCTGTTTCTGCAGGCCACAAAGCCCCACTTGAGAACATACTGGCAGTATGTTAACAGCCAGCATCTCTCAATTACATACTGTAGCTCTCAAGCTTTCCACCTAAGCTCACAGAAATCATGCCATGATCATTTCCATTCCACTTTAATGTCGTCAGTACTCCTGTCTCCTCAGAGGTCCTCTTACCATGTCTCCATTCCTTGGCCAAGCCCGTCCATTTTGCACAAATTTTCCTTGGTTCTGTCGTTTCTTTGGCCCGCCATCAGCAAATTTGCAAAGCAAGGGATCAGATGGGGCTGCCAAGAGAGAAGGGAAATGGGCAGCTGAGTCCCACCTCATGTGGCCCAGGCACACTCATGCAAAGCTGCTCCAGAATCTTCACTGGAAGTAACAACCTGTGGCCCTCTCAGCCTGAGCCCCAGATGCCTCACCTGGTACTCCAGGGGGTGTCTTAATATATTTTCCATTAAAGTGGGTGATGATGGCTTCACACTTCTCTGTGGACTCCATCCTAAGGAGCATAAGAGGGGTTAGGCTCTAGCTTCTCCAGGATCTGTGCCCTCCACACATTGAAAGAGAAAGCAAAGCTCTAAGTTCCCAGCCCCACAATTGCTCCAAATGTTATGACTACAGAAACACAGAGTGCCACACAAATTCAAGGTTCTTGACGAGGTAACCCCAGCTTGTAATGAAGGTTCTCTCAGCTGGTCCCCGTATGGGATCCTCATAGGAATGACAGTCTTCAGACTATTAACATGGGCCCTCTCTTGTGTCTGCCATATACATAAGAATACAAGAAATAGAGGCCGTTACCATTATTTTTTATTAGAAAATTCTGAATGAAAATTGTTCCTTTAATTTGATAAAATTGTACAAGCTAACAATTTGCCAATATTTATTTTTTGCTTCTTGTTGTAATTAAGGTCAAGGTCTAATTAGCTATTGATGATATCATTAAGATTTCATGAATCTGTGGAAGGAAAAAGCAATAAGAAAGAGTTCATGGCCCATAGTGATAGAAAAAGGAATGCTGGAATCTACTGAGTTAGTTTCTTGTTGAAGAAAGAGGAATAAGGAATCAGAAGACTGAGATTCCAGCACCAGTTCGCCACCCAGAGCTCTGTGAGTGAGGACACTCACAAAAAGCCTCTGATTGGCCGCATGTGGTGGCTCACACCTGTAATCCCAGCACTTTGGGAGACCGAGGCAGATCGCTTGAGGTCAGGAGTTTGAGACCAGCCTGGACAACATGGAGAAACCCTGTCTCTACTAAAAATACAAAAATTAGCCTGGAGTGGTGGCACGTGCCTGTAATCCCAGCTACTCGGGAGGCAGAGGTGAGAGAATTGCTTGAACCTGGGAGGCGGAGGTTGCAGTGAGCCAAGATTGCGCCACTGCACTCCAGCCTGGGCAACAGGGCGAGAATCTATGTCAAAAAA